CTCTCCTCCATTTCTCCGTTCCTTAATCCTCTCCTCCCCTCCTCAAATCCTTCTTTTGAATTCAAGTTAAGAAGAAAAATAAAATGAAAAGAGGAATAAAAAGTTAAAATAAATCTCCAGTGAAATTCTCCCGTACGTCACACAGGTTATATTCACGAGGAACAAAGTATTGAGAAACGGGAGGTGAAAGTCTTCGAAATCGTACGGGTGGTCACGTGACACGCATCCATATAGGGGAGGAGGGGGTTGGGGAGGGAGGAAGAAGGAAGGGAGAGGGAGGAAGGAGGCAATGGAAAGAGAGAAGAGAAGGGTAGAGGGAGGAAGGAGAAGGGAGTAGAAGGGGAGAGGGAGAGGGAGGAAGGAGGAAAGAAGGAGAGGAGGAGTTTGGGAGAGGGAGGAAGAAGGAAAGGAGAGGGAGGAAGGAGGGAAGGGAGAGGGAGGAGAGAAGGGTAGAAGAAGGAAGGGAGAGGGAGAAGAGAAGAATGAAAGAAGGAAGGGGGAAAAGGGTTGAAGGGAAGAAAGAGAGGAGAGTAAGGAGGCAAGGGCAGAAAAGAAGAATGAGGGAAGGACATTGAAAAATAAGAAGGGAGAGGAAGGAGGGAAGAGAAGAAAGAAAGAAGGCAGAAAAATCATGGAAGAAAATAGCAGTCTTGTTTACGATCGCTCCCATGGCATCGACCAACGCATTTTCTTGTTTTCATCTCCTGTTTCGCCTCGAGTCCCGCGCGGATTTGCATAGGCGAAAAATATTCTAAGCACCAGAAGAAAAAAATGATCTCGACCTGAAACACCACACTGGTAGTTCTAAAAAAGGCCGGGCTAAAGAGAGAGCGGGAGAGGGAAAAATAATGACTATTGCTTCATTAGCTTGGCAGTCCCAGAGGCTGGAGATGAGTCGAGCCTTCTCACGCTTCTTCATACAGGTTCTCCGGAGTGAAAGTCACCTGCCCTTCCCACCTGTGTGCCCTCCTCCCCTCTTCCTCCCTCTCCTCTCCCCTCCCTCCCTCCTTCCCTCCCTCTTCCCTCTCCTCCTCCTTCCCTCCCTCCCTCCCCCCAGGCTGCAGTGCGTCTTTTCTTTAGTTGCTGGTTGGTGCCTCTGAGGTTGCTTTGGTTCTTTGCTAAATTGCGTAGTTGTGTTGCACACTCATTGCTATTATACTTTAGCATTTGCAAATTTCTCGTGTTTGATTCGCAAGTACCCATACGATCCAATATATATCAATAAAAAGGCATAACCAAATGAAGAAGCGAAAAAGAAGAAACCTCAAAGCAGATGAGAAGAAAAAATCTCAGAGGGTTGCAAGAACCTGTTTGACTATAAACCTATTACCGTTCGCTGACCGGGCGGCGAAGAAGGCATACAAGCTAGCATTATGGAGTCGCAGGAGCCTGGAGCGGATCCACCCAGTCACGTTCCTGCATAAAGTAACACTGAAGATACATCAGGTTAACATTCTTATGCCACTGAGAAAGCCTGACTGTGGCTCTGATTGACTCTTCTTGTACCCGCGGAGGAGGCAGAAGGTGTTTACCGATGGGTTGGGGGGGGGGGGGGGTGGCGAGGTTGGGATAGGTGGCGAAGTGGCCGAGGTGTCCTGAAGGTGATCGAGGGTCGTAGGGTCGTCTTTTGTCGTTCTTCGCCGTCCCTTGGTCGTCGGGCTTGTCATTCTCTTTGTCTTTCCAGTTCGGGTTTTTTTTCTAATTCCCCCAAGGACGGTTTTCCTGTCTGGGAAAGGGGGAAAAACGTCTTTCGTATTCAATTAAAAGAACTTGGGGAACGTGAGGGAGTTATTTCGCCCAGTCTCGCTATTACGAGTTTTAAATGATGTGGCTGTAAGCTATGAGGATATTCGTGGGTTTGCGTAGGTGGAAAATACTATGCAGGTTGTTATTGCACGGAGGGAAATATGGCTTTGGCTGCATGAGTGAGTGTATGTTTTAAAGACCAAAATACCTAGGTAACAAATGCACATGCACACATACACACACACACACACACACATTATAATATATATATATATATATATATATATATATATATATATATATATATATATATATATTATATATATATATATATATATGTATATTTATATAATTACATATATTTTTTTCAATGACAATTATGTATGTTTTCCTATTTCTAATGAAAATAGTATTTTTCTTTCCTTCGCTAATGAGAATTCCTTTTTCTTTTTTTCTTTGTAATGAGTATAATTTTCTTCATATTAATAGGCATTGTCTCTCTTGTTGTATTGAGAAATACACTGTACTTTTTCGCTTTTGTAATTAGAATTGTATTTCCTCTTTTTGTAACGAGAAATGTTTTTCTTATTATTATTATTATTCATTTATTTATTTATTAGCGAGAAACATTTTTTTCTGTAGTGGGAAACATATTTTATTTTTTGTTCTTTTTTGTAGCGATATATTTTTTTTTTTCAACGAGAGACATTTCCATTTCCTTTTTTTTTCTAACGAGAGCCCCCTTCCCCCCCAGAGTGCCGCCCGTGTTCGGAAGACGAGATCCTCCGCCTCTACTGCTCGGGCGACTTCGTGGCTCGAGGAAGCATCGAGCGCGTGGAGGACGACTCCGACCTCGCCACGACCACCATCACCATCCGGGCCTCGAAGCTCTTCCAGCAGACGTCGCCGGTGTTCAGACACGCCCACGCCCGCGAGAGAGACGAGAAGGCCTGGGAGAGCGCGTACGGCGTCAGCAACAGCATCCGAGGGGGGGGAGGGGGAGTGGCGGAGTACACGGGCCGCGTCGACGTCCCCATCCAGTGCGGGGCGCGGGCGGGCGAGGGGGAGTTCCTGGTGATGGGCGTGATGAGGCTGGGGAAGCCCATCCTGCGGTGCGCGCCCAGACACTCCGAGTGGGTGAAGATCGCCAAAGCCGCCCGGGCCAATGCCCAGTGTGTGCTGGAAACGTGAGCGTTGTGCAATTGCAAAAGACGCTTTCTAAGGACGTGAAGTTCCGTGCAATTGCGAAAGACAGTTTTATAAGGACGTGAAGTTCCGTGCAATTGCAAAGGAATTTCTTAAGGACGTGAAGTTCCGTGCAATTGCAAAAGACGGTTTCTAAGTACGTGAAGGTTTGTGCAATTGCGAAGGAGTTTCTTAAGGACATGAAGTTTTGTGCAATTGCGAAAGACAGTTTCCGGAGACGGTGGACTTCGTGCAGTATATTTTTTAAAAAGTTCTAGAAACATTAGATTTTATGTTATTGTAAAGTGAATGTTCAAGGAACGGTATATATTGTGCAATTGCAAAAGACATTTTCTAAAGACATTTCTCTTGTGCAATTGCTAAGGGGCATCGCGGTGTTCCTAATGTAGTCTTAAAGTGGAAGCGATTCAGTGACAAATGACACTCGAAGATGAGTAACAAGAAGCTCAATCGATTAAATAATCCACTGAAAGGAGAAGAGACAATTTTAAAATATATATCTTGGTGCAATAATAGTAGACATTGCGATTAACGAATTTGCAATGCTACAGCAACACTTTTGCTCCCAGTGTACATATACTGAACTTCTGACACAATGGAATCAAGGGGAGTGAAGTTCACAGTTTGAACGGAAAGAAAATTTCTGCAGAGAGGAATAGGTGTCCTATGGGCCCCTTTAAACACGTCACACAAAATCGTGAAACAACTTAATAGAAAATTTATGAATTGTCAGGTTCCATGGGATCTTTTCACAAGCTAAAAAGTTCCATGAGGCTTTTCACGTGTTAAAAAGTCCCCATGACGCTTTTCACAAGCTAAAAAAAGACCCCATGAGGTTTTCACAAGCTAAAAAAGACCCCATGAGGTTTTCACAAGTTGAAAAAAGACCTCATGAGGTTTTCACAAGCTAAAAAAGACCCCATGAGGTTTTCACAAGCTAAAAAAGACCCCATGAGGTTTTCACAAGCTAAAAAAAGACCCCATGAGGTTTTCACAAGCTGTAAAAAGACCCCATGAAGTTTTCACAAGCTAAAAAAAGACCCCATGAGGTTTTCACAAGCTAAAAAAAAAACATGAGGTTTTCACAAGCTAAAAAAACATGAGGTTTTCACAAGCTAAAAAAAGACCCCATGAGGTTTTCACAAGCTAAAAAAACGAGGCTTTTCACAAGCTAAAAAAAAAACATGAGGTTTTCACAAGCTGAAAAAAGACTCTATAAGGTTTTCACAAGCTAAACAAAGGACCCCATGAGGCTTTTCACGAGCTAAAAGGCCACATGAGAACCTATCCTCTCCAACTTCAAAGGCCGAAACAGTCCCTTGCTTTTGGTGATTGTAATGGATTTGGTTGTACCAATTGCGGTTGTAAGTGTGTAAAGTGCCATAGATAGCACGTAAGGCCAGGCAGTCTCTTGTGTTTATGAAGCGATTCTTGAATGTTTTAAATACAGTCTCTTGTGGTTATGGAAGTGACTCTTGAATGATTTTTTGAAGCAGATTTTGTTTTTATCAAACCGTCTGTGATTTAGTAGTTACTGAAAAAAAAGTCCTGGACTGATATTAGAGAAGGTTTATACGTTTAGTTTATATTCATCCTGACAAAAAAGTCAAATATCCAATTGTATTAATGTTCCACTGAAGCTATTAGCTCTCGAAAAAAGTTATTTTTTTCATATTTTTTATAAATGTATAAATTTGCTTTTCCTTTTAAACTTCGTAAAAAAATATTCTTAAAGTTGTCCTGTCGACCGCTTTCCAGGGTGTATACTAACCACGGTATCATACAGCACCCTGCTTGTGTACAAAGCTTAGTATAATTCCTTCCGACTCTTGGAGGAAAGGATATAGCTCATAGAAGGTCATAAGAAAACAGTAGAGGTCCTAAGTGCAATGTTTTTTTTTCCGCTGATTTTAGGGACGCCATTACTTGGTTGGGTCTGAGGAAACCTTTCAGAAAAAGATGTTGGGACAAGCAAGTGTTCTAGCTCTTCTCTGACATCTTCATTTTCTCCTTCCCCTGCAATTCTTTCTTCCTCCTTTTCCTTTCTCTCTTCCTCTCTCGCTTCTTCATCTTCCTGTTCCTCCTTCTTCTCCCCCCTCCTATTCCTATTACTATTCTTCTCCTCCTCCTCCTCCTATCTCATCATACTCTTCCTCTTTCTCCTTCTCCTCCTCCTCCTCCTCCTTCTTTCGTTGAGTCTGCTGTGTAGGTCGACTCATGGAAAACCAACCTCTGTTTTGATGTTTATTTTGCATGGTTCAGCACATAAATTCCTGCTGATTCACTGAACGAAATCAGCGACCCCACAAACTGTCCTGTATGCTGAAGGAAAATTAGTATCAGTTTATGTTATCTGTTGGTTCGTAGGAAAAAAACTTGTCATTATGATTTAGTGTGTATTTTTAAAGGCCGTGTGTTTATGTCCCGGTCGGATAGGAGTTATATTGGGTATGGATAAACATTTTTTGATAAGTTCACGTGAAAAATGAACGTGTACATCTTTAAGAGTGAGTTTATGTTGGAAATTCTTCAAATTGAAAGTTGAACATTTCGGGAAATTCTTTAAATTGACAGTTTTTTAGACAGTTTATGAACATTTGTTTATTTTATATTTGACAGTTTATGAACATTATTATTATTTTTTTTTTTTTTTGACAGTTTATGAACCTTTAAGTTTCATTTTGTATTTGACAGTTTATGAACATTTCTGAATATTGAGAGCATTGAGACTGCTGGTGCAACGGTGCCATGTACTAAGAGAGACTGTAGATCGTTTTCTATGATGTGTATTCCAGTTTTGTGTTATGAAAATTTCGATTTATAATTGGCTTTTTCTGGAGGGGGTTAGAAGGGATTACTCAAAATGCTTTTTTTATACATGTGCTTTTTTCCCGCCATCCATTAATAACAATGAGAAACTTAAGCCTTGCTTGTATATCTTTAACACCGCTTTTGGCATCTTGACGTCACTAATAGGCCTATCAAATCCTTACATGTCAATATCTCATTTATCTTTATCCATATTTATTGACACTCTTCGACTGACTATTATTCCCTCTTTTATCAATTCCTTCTTAACATTCCTCTTTATTTGTTTATTTCCAAGCACCTGCGACTAAGTGGGTGCCAGAGGTGAATCTACACCTTGTTTGTATATATCTGCGTGGTGGAATTACCTTAATATTATAGCATAAATCAGGTGAATGTATAATGTATAACTGTGTGAGACGATGCAAGGGCATACTTACTAAATGATCTCAATATTGTACAACGTGAGAAAATTTTATACATCCATGCGCCAACCGTCTATCGTGAAGACTGCAATAACAAATCTTTACTTTTTATGCTGCAATGTAAACAAAATAGCAAATGTTCTCGCGCATTTTATTCTGTATGTATATTTCGTCATCCAATCGTACTAGAACAAATTGCAATAACGAAGCCTTTTTGTTTTGTTTGTTCTTTGCTAGAACTAAAAAAATAATGTTTTACGCATGTTTTCCTCTGTATATTTCGTCACCCAGTACTCGAATTCAAACAGCTAAGGCATATAACCCAAATGTCTATTAATAAACGTAAATAACATAAATAACGAAACGTATACAACAATATTACAAGGATAACTTATATACTTCCCTGACATATTGTGAAACTAGTCGAGAGTTTGGAACCTGTTGGAGGGGGTACGTGCTTAACATTTGTGTATATAGAGCGTTAGTAATAATGGAGAAATTTATACGACCTGACCCGTGAATTCACTGTGCCAAATTATACATTTTTTCTCGAGTCTTTTCATCTTTTTTTTTCATTTTTGTTTATATATTTCTTCCATGAGAAATTGTACTTATGTAAACATTTGATCTTTTTATATGTATATATTGTGTATGTGATGAAGATTTAAGTGAAATATATATGGACTTCTTCAACATTGCCTGTTATTAACCTCGAATGATTAATGGATAAATTTGGGTGAGTATATACTTTAGATATGCCCAAATATACTTGACACTAAAAAAACGTGATAAAATGTTGCTTTTGAAACACGCCCTTTTGTGTGTGTGTGTGTGTGTGTTGTGTCAGTTGAAAGCTAAATCAAAGGAAACCATGAATAATTATTCCTTACTTAAAATAAGCTCATATCAATCATATGAAGCGTATTTCACTAACATTTAAATAAAAGTAACAAAAGACTCAAAATCACAGACCAATTCCCTAATTTCAATTCTTTCAAAATCTTTGGAGATCTTAGCACACAAAAAAATCCATATAATACGGGAGGAAACAAAGTTTTCTTAAATAAAACAAAGAAAAAAGAAAAAAACTATTGTTAAAAAATATATATGTAATGAATAAAATAGAAAAGGAAGAAAAAATAACGACAACTGACAGTCAACCCGAAGAAATAAAGAATAAACTCACATAAACCTCAAATAATGAAACACAAAAATATGAGTGAGACATGATTAATTTTTCAGTAACTATTTTCATTTAAATAATTCACTCAGCAAGTTGGTCTCTCACACTTATATTCAAGCTACTGAGATGACAAATGATGTGAAGTTCTCCTTTGAATAAATAAATAAATAAATATATATATATATATATATATATATATATATATATATATTATATACATACATACATACATACATACATATATATATATATAATATATATTATATATATATATATATATATGTATATATGTATATATATAATATATATAATATATATATATATATTAATGTATATATATATTATATATATACATATATATATACATATATATATATATATATATATATATATATATATATATATATGATAAAGGTGATAACAATAAATAAGGAATAATTTGGATAACGAGAATAAGTACCTTATTATTATCATAATTATTACTATAATTATTATGACCATCATCCTCACTAATATCATTGTTATTATCATCATGGCCCGTTTGCTTCATTGAAAAGGACACCAGATTCAGCCGAAACGCCATGATCTACCCCTGTTCTAAATCCAAATGAAAGACGCGTGAATGGCCAATCTCCCCCCCCCCCCCCCAGGTGATTATAAGATACAGATCACCATGTATTTATTCGTCCAATTACACGATTAACTGGAGGCTATGAAACTATAAATCGCTGTAATTACTTTTATTTAAGGAGGTTCGAGTCGTAGACTTTCTTGGGGCCATGATGAGGTTGTTTGTGTGTGGGATTCATGTTGAATACATTGTGAGTAAAAAAAAAAAAAAAAAAAATGTGAAAAGCCCTTTGGCATATTCGTACGTTTTTTTCTCTCTCTCTCTTTTTTGTTCTTTCTTTCGTTGTTTTATTTATGTGTGTAGGTTTGCGGTGTGTGTGTGTGTGTGTTGCGTTTTGCGTATGTGTATGTGTTGGGGGGAGGGGGGGTGTGTGCGTGAGTGTGTTCGTGTATGTGTGTTTGTTTGTGTTTGCATGTGTGTGTGTGTGTGTGTGCGTAATTTGCTTATGTATAATTGTAGTCGTTGTGTTTGTATGAAATTGTGTGTGTGTGCGTGTTCGCGTATGTGTCTGAGCGCGTGCGTGCGTGCGTGACTGTATAAATTTTTGTCAATATCTTAGTCCTGAACACACATCTTATACACAAAAATATACACACTCACAAGAATACACGCTCTCACAGCATCCCTGAGACATCCACCCTAGCCCCATACCTACATGTACACCTCCCCCCCCCCCCAAAAAAAAAAAAAAAAAAAAGAAATCACGAACACAATACCAAAAACATTCCAAAACCCACCAAGAAATCCCCACACACACCCACTCGAAGTCATCCACGCACTCATCCATCAGCAGAGGGCGTTGGGCGGGGGCGTCCTTGTCAACCTCCTCCGATAACCCGCCTTTGGTGAAGGACCCTGAGTGTAAAGGATCATCGGGATTCAACAGCAGAGCAACGACAGGAGGGCGGTTCGCTGGAGAAGGAGCCCGAAGTGTGGTGGTGGTGGTGGTGTGTGTGTGTGTGTGTGTGTGTGTGTGTGTGTGTGTGTGTGTGTGTGTGTGTGTGTGTGTGTGTGTGTGTGTGTGTGTGTGTGTGTGTGTGTGAGAGAGAGAGAGAGAGAGAGTGTGTGCATGTGGTGTGTGAGAGAGAGAGAGAGTGTATGTGTGTGAGCGAGTGAGTGAGTGTGTGTGTGAGTGTGAGTGTGAGTGATGAGTGAGTGTGTGTGTGTTGTGAGTGAGAGAGGAGAGAGAGAGAAGAGAGAGGAGAGAGAGAGAGTGTGGTGTGTGTGTGTGTTGTGAGTGAGAGAGAGAGAGGAGAGAGAGAGAGAGAGAGAGAGAGAGAGAGTGTGTGTGTGTGTGTGTGTGTGAGTTTGTGGAGAGTGTGTGTGTGTGGAGAGAGAAGAGTGTGTGTGTGTGCGTGAGTGTGTGTATGTGTGTGTTATGAGTGATTGTGAGTGAGTGTTGTGTGAGTGAGTTGTGAATGGTGTGTGTGTGTGTGTGTGACTAAACAGAATACAAGATAGAGAGTAAACAAAAGAATGACACGAAAAAAGGGATAGGCAGAAACGGAGACAGACAAGACCAGAGAGAGAGAGAGATGAAGAAGACGAAACAGAGAGACAGAGATACAATGAAACAGACAGACACCGACAGAATTCAATAAAGTGAACTGAGACGAAAGCAGAAAGACTTAACGAAAATAGATGAGAAGAAAGAAACAGAGACAAAAACAGATTCATATACATGCACAGAAACAGACACAAAAACATTAAAGAGAAAGAGAGAGAGAAGGAGAGAGAGACAGAGGGAGAGTGAGGGAGAGAGAGAGAGAGAGAGAGAGAGAGGAGAGAGAGAGAGAGAGAGAGAGAGAGAGAGAGAGAAGAGAGAGAAGAAGAAAACAGAGAGAAATAAAACAAAGATCGACGATCAGAGAGAACAGGAAATGCCAGATAATGGAAAACGAGAGGAAAATATAGGACAGAGCAAAGGTGAGTAATGTAGCACGTGGTCGCGTGATGAAACGATTTCGGAAATGGAAAAAGGATCATGCCAAAATGGCGAGAGAAAAAGTGCCATGCAAAAAATGGCAAAAGTTAACACGTCACGCAAATATGGTGGAAGAAAATAGATCATCCAAATTTGCGAAAGAAAACGAAACATGCAAAAAAAGAAAGAAAATGGTTCATGCTTTTTTTTTAAGAAAATTAATTACGAAAAAGAGATATCGAAAGGAAAGAAACCGGATCACGCAAAAATTTTGGAACGAAAACAAATTACGCAAAAAATATATATGTATTCATACGGTAATGATAATAAAAACAATAATAATCACCATCATTATCATCATAATCAAAATAATAACGATAAGCAAAAGAAAAAGAATCATGCAAATTTTGGGAAATCCAATCATCACGAAAGACTAAAAGATGACGATATAAAACGAATAATAGAAAAATATCGGAAGAAAACGCATCCCGCAAAAAAATAAATAAATAAATAAGAAGAATCATACTAACCTAATGAAAAAACGGATCACGCTCAAAACGGAAGAGAAACAGCAAGATGACAGTAATAGTTCTTAAAAAAAGAAAAAAAAGTAAGGAATGTCCGGTATAAGACCCCAGCACGCAAAAAGAGATAATCATATACATCTATCGACATCTGTATCTATCTATCTGTCTATCTCCATAATAAGAAGAAAAACTATGATAATGAGGTTGATAACAATGAAAATAAAAATAGCAATAATGATTATTATAATTAGTATGATTATAGTAACGTTAATGATAATATCAATCAAAATTAATAATTACATTAATAACAATAATAATAATAACAACATCAGCAACAATAATGATTCAATACAATAGATATAAAATAAATAAATAAATAAGTCCGTACCCCCTCGATACATAAATTGAAGACCTTATAAATAAAAGCCTTGGAGGGACGGGAGACACGCTCAGTTAAAGTGTAAATGTAACAGCATCATTCACTTATACACCCTTCAGAAACGGAAATAAAAGAATTACAAAAGAATATGAGAGGATATGTAAAATTGGTGCTTGTATTCAACCTGGGATGAGTGAGGCTAGTAAAAGTTTTTTTTCTCTCTCTCCCTCTTTCTCTTTTTTTATTTATCTTTTTTTTTCCTTTTCTGTTTATTTCTCTCTATTTTCCTTTTCCTTCTATTTCTTCTTCTCTTTTTCCTTCTCCTTCTCATTTTCCTTCTCCTATTCCTTGTGCTTCTCCTTCTCTCTCTATCTATCTATCCAACCCAAAAGAATCAGTAAAAGACTAAATAAAACTAAGCAGAATTAACCTCATAGTATAACAACCGAAAGATTCTGAATAAAAACCCTTTAGACTGATGACTTAAATACCTACACAAACCCATTAGAATCCTCATTGAATAAACAAAAGCTTAAGAAACACGTAACTCATATAATCTCCCTCGCTAAATGGCTACAGAGAAATTCTAATTGAATCTCATTTGAGTTATAACTAAATTATTTCACAAATTCATAAGAATTATAACTAAATGCCTACATAAACCGACAAGAATTATAACTAAATAATTAAGTGGCTAAATGACAAGAGAAAAAAACAAGACTTATAACTAAATGCCTGCACAAAAATAAATAAATGAATAAAAATAGAATAAAAGATAAAAAATAAGCGCTCAAAAATCACTAAAGAACAAAAATGCATCACGAAAATACCAAAAAGCTAAACAAGAGAGAAATTTAGAAATAAAACCCCCCAGAAGCATTACAACTAAATATCTACAAACAAAAATAATAACATTTCTTTTCAAACGCTCAAATATAAATCACTAAACACCAAAAGCAGCATCACTAAACATCCGAACATCTGAACGACACAAAAGAGAGAAAATTCAAAAAATAAAAATCCACAGGAGACGAAACGCCAGAGAGCGG